ATATTTTTCTATGAATTTTTGTTCCTAGCTTTTGCCTGTTTATATTTGTTTATATATTTCTTTCTCACAATTTTGGAGTTATTTATGGAGTAGTAATTATACTTTGTCACATCTTGCAAATATTCTCTCCCAGTTTATCATTCATCTTTTGGCTTTGTTTATGGTATTTTAAGTGTTTATGTGGTTGAACCCATCAATTTTCTGTTATGGCTTCCAAGTTTCCAGGTTTTCTCAAAAGTGCTAACCCTACCCTGAGGGTAAACAAATGTCATCATTTCTTTGCTATTTTAATAGTTCTAATTTTTTTTTTCGTATTTGTGTTTTGAATCTCTGTGGAATTTATCATTTGTAGTGTGAAGCAAGGTTCTAACTTTATTTTCTTCCAGATGGAGAGCCATCTTCACCCCCAACTTTTTCAGAGACAGTATAAATCGTCTCAACCTTCTTAGAGAGCAGTCTGGCTTTAGCTATTTATTTAATAAAATGCACATACCATTTAATCCAGCAATCCTACTTCTGTAAATATAGACTGATACTTTTATAAAAATAAAAATATGAGTATATAACAATTTATAATGTAAGGATGTACATTGTATCATTTCTTTTATAATAGCCCCAAAAAATCTGGAATCGCCTTTAATGTATGTGGGAATGTTTGAATAAATTTTATGGCAAATCCATACTATGAAATGCTGTGAAATTATTCAACAGAATGTTGTAGAGCTCTACATTGACTTAGAAAAGTGTTTAGATATATTGTTAAGTGGAAAAAGCAAATCGTATCATTTAAAAAAACTATATGTGTGCATATGTCTGTATGCGGATAAAACTATAAAGGCATATGCATCATAAAGTTATCATTGGTTTCCTCAAGGGGAGGGAATTGGAAAGGGGTTGGAATGTAGGGGGTGAAGATTATAAATTTTTATTTTATAGAGGTGTATTTTTTTTTTTTTTGAGACAGAGTCTCACTCTGTTGCCTGGGCTAGAGTGCCATGGCTTCAGCCTTGCTCACAGCAACCTCAAACTCCTGGGCTCAAGCAATCCTTCTCCCTCAGCCTCCCAAGTAGCTGGGACTACAGGCATGCGCCACCATGCCCAGCTAATTTTTTCTCTATATATTTTTAGTTGGCCAATTAATTTATTTCTAGTTTTTAGTAGAGACAGGGTCTTGTTCTTGCTCAGGTTGGTTTTGAACTCCTGACTTTGAGCTATCCTCCCTCCTTGGCCTCCCAGACTGCTAGGATTACAGGTGTGAGCCACCATGCCTGGCCTATAGAGGTATATTTTTTGAAATATAACAAATCAAGAAAGAAATCACATTACTAACTGGTTAATTATCCAAAGAGTAGGCCAGGCGCAGTAGCTCACGCCTGTAATCCTAGCACTCTGGGAGGCCGAGGCAGGAAGATCCTTTGAGGTTAGGAGTTCGAGACCAGCCTGAGCATGAGTGAGATGCTGTCTCTACTATAGAAAAAAATTAGCCGGGCATGGTGGCGCATGCCTGTAGTCCCAGCTACTCGGGAGGCTGAAGCAGGAGGATCACTTGAGCCCAGGAGTTTGAGGTTGCTGTGAGCCAGGCTGACACCATGGCACTCTAGCCTGGGCAACAGAGCAAGACTCTGTCTCAAAACAAACAAACAAACAAACAAAACCCCCAAAAAGTAAAGACCTTGTTTAGCCTATGGGAGGTAGAAGGACTGTTACCCACGTTTTCCCTTGAAGAAAGAAAAACGATACAGGATAAATGTTCTCATACCTCACAAGGTCGGTAAGTTTGAAGAGCAATGAACTCACATGCTGTTAGAGTAGAACTAGAAGTAGTGGACAGGATTTTCAGGAGGGCTGATTATTAATAGCACAACATGATGTAAATTCTAATCACTAGACGTGTCCAAAAACTGAAGCATCTCTCACGAAGAGTTTGAGATTTCCATCGCTAGAAATATTCAAGCTGAGGCGAGGTGACCATCTGTCATGTGTGCTGTGGAAAAAACTTCAAATTTGACTGGAGGTTGGACAAGATAATTTTAAACATCCTTTCAAGGCTAAAATTCTAAGGTTTGAACACCTGGAAAAAATTTTGCTTTGGTTATACTGTGTACCTAAATCTCTCAACAGCCCTAGCCCTTTGCACTCAGATATCGAGTGTGGATAATGTCAAGTGGATAATGAGAAAAAAGCAAGCGAGTGCAAAGGGCTAGAGGCAGACACCATTAATATTAACATCCCCATTTTGCAGAAGAGAAAACCAAGGGATAGATAAGTAATTTGCTCAAGTTCACACAAGGCAGGGTGATACAGCCAGGATTTGAACCCAAGAATCCTGTCTTTGGAACTCTTTCTCCTAATAATTTACTATTCAGTTGCAAACAATTAAAATCAAAGCTGCAATAAATATATTTGTAAATATATATACAAATGTAAATATACATGCTTGCATATATACCTGTGTATGTACATATTGACAAATGGGTATATATGTGCATAGTCACACACAATATTCATACATACACAAAATATGTACTACAATATTGGTAATGGCAAAATTCTGAATAAAACTAAATGTCCACAAATAGGGGACTGGTGAAATAAATTATCGTTCCCCTCATATAATGGCATTTTATGCAGCTATTAATTGAGATTATATTATAGGCCATGATATAGAAGATATCCAAGATACACTAATTTTTTTTTTTTTTTTTTGAGGCAGACTTACTCTGTTGCCCCGGCTAGAGTGCCATGGCATCAGTCTAGCTCACAGCAACCTCAAACTCCTGGGCTCAAGAAATCCTTCTCCCTCAGCCTCCCAAGTAGCTGGGACTACAGGCATGTGCCACCATGCCCGGCTAATTTTTTCTATGTATTTTTAGTGGGCCAATTAATTTCTTTCTATTTTTAGTAGAGACTGGATCTCGCTCTTGCTCAGGCTAGTTTTGAACTCCTGACCTTGTGCAATCCACCCGCCTCGGCCTCCCAGAGTGTTAGGATTACAGGCATGAGCCACCGCACCCAGCCTCAAGATACACTAATTTTTTTAAAGCAAGTTGCAAAACTATGTTTTCTATGATATCATTTTGCTCTGTGTGTATGTGTGTACTTGTTTGTATATGATTGTCTAATTTCTAAAATAACACAGAAGAAACTGCTAATAATGGTTATCTCTGAGAAGGATTGGGCTGTGACTTTTTCTCTCCTGTACTGTTTAATTTTCTATCATTAACATGTACTAATTTAGCAATAAAAACTCAATAAATAGCCAGGTGTGGTGGGGTGCACCTGTAGTCTCAGCTATTCGGGAGGCTGAAGTGGGAGGATCCCTTCTGCAGTGAGCTATGATGATTCCACCATGCTCCAGCCTGGGCAACAGAGTGAGACCCTGTCTTTAAAAACGGAAAAAAAAACTCATTAAAAATATAATTTTCCATAATTCCTCCTTTTTAACCTCATCAGATTTCCCGTAAAGAATGATCTCTTTAACTACTTGACACTGTGGACACAGTACTCTGATTTCAAAGCATAAAACTTTCTCTGCCTTTCTCTGGTGGTGGTGTTTTACCTTTTTTTTTTTTTTAATGTAACCAATTGTTTTCACACCAATAAAAGTGAATGCAAGGCCCTTTCAATTAGAGCAGCATTAATGCTCCATGAAAAGCAACATTTGGAAACATTTGAAGAGAAAATAAATTCATAAATATATAAATACTTTCACTCTATCATGCATGATAATTTTGTTGCCAAAGTAATTTACACATGAAACCACCCAGTCTTAAACTACCAAGTCCTCTCTCAGGGTAGGGAAATCCTCATGTGTTGATCCCTTTGGGCCTGGCCCTGTTTCAACCCCATTATAAATAGTTTCTCATTTTTATTCCTATTCAAAAAGCCTGAAGTTCAGAGAAGTTAAAAAAATTTCACCAAGGTCACAAAGATAATAAATGCAAAAACATGAAGTTTGAATTAAATCTGGTGTCAAAACCTTGCACTAGGACTTCTATTTCTGCCCAATTTGGAGTAACAGGGACCAGATTTACCCTCCTACCTGAAACAACCAAATAACAGGCAAAATATTAGTTTCAATGTGCCAGACACCAGACACATAAGACAATGATGGATAAGTGATCCCTGAGAAATAGGAACAAATGAGACGAGCCCTACAATTGAGTGAGTTTCCAAATTGCAGCATAGGGAGGCAGAATGCTATCCAGCCTGGGTTTCTTTTTTCCCTCTGTCTTTACTTTTTTATTTTAGAGATGGGGTCTTGTTATGTTGCCCAGGCTGGTCTTGAACTCCTGGCCTCAAGCAATCCTCCCTCCTCAGCTTCCCAAAGTGCTGGGATTATAGGAATGTGCCACTGCACCTTGCCAAGCTGGGTTTTTGAGTTAAAGAGATGAAATTGAGAATCTAGGGAGGCTAGTGGAATTGCTGAGTAATTTGGAAACTGTATGTTTAACCTTTTCAAGAGCAGCCAGACTGTTTTCTAAAGTCACTGCATCATTTTATATTCCCACCAGCAGTGTATGAAGTTCCCATTTCTCCACATTCTCACCAACACTTATTATTATCTGTCTTTTTGACTATAGCCTTCCTGGTGAGTTGAAGTGATATCTCACTGTGGTCTTGATTTACATTTCTCTGATGGCCAATGATGTTGAGATTCTTTTTTTTTTTTTTCTTCTTATTGGTTATTTTTTTGAGAAATCTCTATTCAGATCTTTGTCTATTTTAAAATCAGATTATTTGATTTTTTTTGTTGGCTTGTAAGAGTTCTTTATGTATTCTGGAAACTAGACACTTATCAGCTATATTTTCTGTGGGTTGTCTTTTTATTTTCATGATGGTTTCCTTTAAAGCACAAATGATTTTAATTTTGATGATGACAATTTATCTATTTTTTTTGATTGCTTGTGCTTTTGGTATCATTGCCTAATCCAAAGTCATAAAAATTTGCACTTAAATTTTCTCCTAAGCATTTTATAATTATATATTTAGGTCTTTGATCTATCAAGTTAATTTTTATATATGGTATGAGGTAGGGGTCCAATTTCATTCTTTTGCAGGTGGAGTCCAATGACCTCAGCATGGTTTGGTGAAAAGATTCTTCTTTCCCCAAAGAATGATCTTGACATCCTTGTTGAAAATCAATTACCTGTAGATGTGATGGTTCTTTTTCTGGAATCCCAGTTTTATTCCTTTAATCTATATGTCTATCCTTATGCCAGAGCCACACTGTCTTGATTATTGTAGCTTTGTAGTAAGGTTTGAAATCAGGAGGTATGAGTTTTCCCAGCTTGTTCTTATTTTCACCGCGAGACTGAAAAAAAAAAGAAAAAAGGGGTCCCTTGGCATTTCATATGAAATTTAGCATCAGCTTATTAATTTCTGCAAAGAAGCCAACTGAGACACTGATAGGGACTGCTTTGGATCTGCAGATCAATTTGAGGACTGTTGCCATCTTTATTATTATTATTATAATTATTATTATATATTAAGGCTTCTGATCCATGAACATATCTTGCCATTTATCTATTAAGGTCCTTAATATCTTTCAATGATGTTTTATAGTTTTCAGAGTATAGTTTTTACACTCCTATTGTTAAATTTATTCCTCAGTATTTATTCTTTTTCTGTAGTTTGTTTTTTTCATTTGAGTTTTTAATTTAAATAGTTGTGAATGTTTTTATGGTTTTGGAATTTCCTGTCTTATTTAAGACAATCTCTACCTTTATTACAAGGTTACACAAATAGTTTCCTAAATTTTCTTCTAATTGTTTTTTTTAAATTCTTTGTAACTTTGGCCTAATCAAAACTCATTTATATACAGATCATGAAGTAAATATTCTAGATTTTTTCCCAGATGAAGAACCAATTATGTCAGCCATATAAGTCATAATTTTTCTACTGAAATAAAATATCAACTTTGTCATGTGAGTTTGGAATATATACTTAGATTTCTTTCTCACATTGCTGTACTACTCATTCACTGACATGGTAGGGGGATTCTAGGGGGAACTAGATTAAATAATTTAAACTGTATGGAAGAAACAAGGTCTAAAAAGTTTGACTTTTTAAAGAAATTCGTTAAAAAAAAGAGTGTGAGTAGAGACATACTAGATATTAAATATTTTTATAAAGCTGTTCTAATCAAACGAGTATGGAATTGTCCTAGGAACAAATGAATAAATACAAAGTAAATTAGTATTTGTATTTATATTTAATCTTTCTTCAGTCATATTCCACTTGTCTAATATAATAGCTATTTTCAGTTCTTTATTTTATCTCCCAGTTTACCTGTATAACACAAAGGTAAAAACTGAAAATCCCAAATTTATCAGTTGTCTAATTACACTTCTCCCCCCGCAAACTCACCTACTCGCGCCTATGCTCATTTCTTCCTCTTCTCTCGGGCATTCTTCTGAAATCTCCAGCTCCATCCTTTCATCCACCTTTCTTTCTCTGATCCAACTGTTCATCTTCTCCCCCCTCCCCCTTGGCACTTGCCCAGGAAATTAAAAATTTTGTGTTTCTTATTTTGAAGAGCAATGCTGTATTATTTATCTCACTCTGACTCAGACCAGCTGTAAGCTCTGGATTGCTACATCATGAGTCTTAAAGTCCATGGCAAAGCAAAGAGAGCTCACTTGGTGAGGATTTCTGTTTCCAGCGTTTTAAAGGAGCACTTTTCTCCCTGCACCATATGCATATAGCTCCCACATAGTTGTAATCACAGTGTGTGTACACACAGATTCGTGTTCTACTTTCATTTGATGTTATTTCATCAAAAGTGTATACAGATAAATTTGTGTTCTACTCTCCTCTTTTTGATGTTGTTTCATAAGTAGTTTTCTCATCATGAATCTTCTCTTTAGAAACTCTTTAATTCCATCATGTAGAGATGGCATAATTGACTTATTCGTTTCTCTAATGTTGAACATTTAAGACATTGCCTTTCTTTTTTTCTTTTTTTTTTTTGAGACAGAGTCTCACTCTGTTGCCCAGGCTAGAGTGAGTGCCGTGGCGTCAGCCTAGCTCACCGGAAACCTCAAACTCCTGGGCTCAAGCAATCCTGCTCAGCCTCCGAGTAGCTGGGACTACAGGCATGCGCCACCATGCCTGGCTATTTTTTCTATATAATATATTGTTGGCCAATTAATTTCTTTCTATTTATAGTAGAGACAGTGTCTTGCTCTTGCTCAGGCTGCTTTCAAACTCCTCACCTTAAGCAATCCGCCCGCCTCGGCCTCCCAGAGTGCTAGGATAACAGGCGTGAGCCACCGCGCCCGACCTTTTCCTTTTTTTTTTTTTTTTTGACTAGGGAAAAATATTATAAAATATTTGAAAATAAAGGTCTCTTTCTTTCAAATTATTTTCCTGAAAATAAACCCCCAGCAATATGTGAAATGGGGGAAGAGGAGGAGTTTACATTTTTTATTGCCCTTGATATATATTGCTAAATTTTACACAATAAGATTATAGTAATATTATCTGATTTCAAGACTTATTATAAAGTTACAGTAATTACTACATTGTTGTATTGGCTCAAAGATAGACAAAATGCATTAATGGAACTAAACAAAGTCCAGAAATAGACTCCTACATCTATGGACAATTGATTTTGACAAAGCTGCAAAGACAATTCACTGGAGAAAGGATAGTCTTTTCAACGAATAATGCTGGGATAACTTGGATATCTACTTTAAAAAAAATAAGCTTCAATTCATATTTCACATCACATAAAAGTTATCATGCTGGAAACTCAGACTTGTAGGGGGAGGGGGGAAAGGGCATTTTTTGAAACCTTAAAATTTGTACCTCGGCCGGGTGCAGTGGCTCACGCCTGTAATCCTAGTACTCTGGGAGGCCAGGGCGGGCGGATTGCTAGAGGTCAGGAGTTCGAAACCAGCCTGAACAAGAGCGAGACCCGTCTCTACTATAAATAGAAAGAAATTAATTGGCCAACTAATATATATAGAAAAAATTAGCCGGGCATGGTGGTGCATGCCTGTAGTCCCAGCTACTCGGGAGGCTGAGGCAGAAGGATTGCTTGAGCCCAGGTGTTTGAGGTTGCTGTGAGCTAGGCTGACCCCATGGCACTCTAGCCTGGGCAACAGAGCAAGACTCTGTCTCAAAAAAAAAAAAAATTTGTACCCCCGTAATATGCCGAAAAAAAAAAAAAGTTAACTAAAATGTATCCTAGACCCAAAAGTAAAACATATAGCTATTAAACTTCTAGAAGAAAACATTGAATAAATATTTGTAACCTTGGGGATAGGCAAAGGTTTCTTAGAAATGACACCAAAAGAACAAACCATAAAAGAACAAAATGATAAATTTGACTTTATCAAAATATAAAACCTCTTCTTTTAGTAAAAGATAGTCAAGAAAACAAAAACACATGCCACAGATTGGAAGGAAACAACTTTAAGTCAAATATCTGATAAAGGACTTGTGCCCAGACTATGTAAAGATCTCTCAAAACTTAATAAGAAAACAACTCAATTTTTAAAAGAGTAAAAGACATTTCACCAAAGAAGATATACAGATGGCAAATAAATACACAAAAAGATGGACGACATCACTAGTCATTAGGGAAATACAAACTTAAATGCCAACAAGATACCACTATAATCCTATTAGCATGGCCCAAATTAAAAAGACTGACCAGACCAAGTGTTGATGAGGATGTGGAGCAACTAGAACTCTCTCATATTGTTGGTGGGAATGTAAAATAGTACAAGTGCTTTGAAAAACAGGCTGGCAGTTTCTCTAAAGGTTAAAATGCATCTGTCATATGTCCCAGATATTTCACTCCTAGGTATTTTTCCCCAAGAGAATGAGAGCATAGAGCAATGACTGTACAAAGACTTGTACATGGTTGTTTATACAGCTTTATTTAGAGATTTGAAAGCAAGTCAAATGTCTATCAATAGGTAAAGAGAGGAAGAAACTGTGGCATATTCATGCAATGGAATGCTACTCAGCAATAAAAAGGAATGAACTCTTAATGCATGCTATCACATGGATGAATCTCAAATTAATTATGCTGAATAGAATAATCCAGACAAAAAGAGTACATACTATATCACTTCATTTATATAGAATTATAGGAAATGCAAACCAATGCATAGTGACAAAAAGCAGATCAGTGGTTGCCTGGGGAAAGGGTGGGTTCGAGCTTAGAGGGTTGGGAGGCAGGGATTACAAAGGGGACAAAGAAATTTTGAGAGGTGATGAATATGTTCATTATCTTGATTGTGGTGATGATTTCACTAGTGTATCTACAGGTCAAAACTTATCAAATCGCATCCTTTAAATCAGAAGTGCCCAACCTTTTTGGCCCTAAGGACCAGTTTCATGGAAGACAATTTTTCCATGGACTGGGGCCCAGGGGATGGTTTCAGGATGATTCAAGCACATTACATTTATTATGCACTTTATTTCTATTGTTATTACATTGTCACTTGCCACTCACTGTAGGGTTTTGATATGAGTCTGCAAGCAATTGATTTATTATGGTCTTTGTGCAGTCAAAACTCTCTGCTAATGATAATCTGCATTTGCAGCTGCTCCCCAGCACTAGCATCACCGCCTCAGCTCCAGCTCAGATCATCAGGCATTAGATTCTCATAAGGAGCGCAACCTAGATTCCTCATGTGTGCAGTTTACAGTAGGGTTTGTGCTTCTGTGAGAATCGAATGCAGCTGCTGATCTGACAGGAGGTGGAGCTCAGGCGGTGCTGTGAGTGACGGGGAACTGCTGGAAATACAGATGGAGCTTCACTTGCTCACCCTCCACTGCTCACCTCCTGCTGCGTGGCCCGGTTCCTATAGGCCATGGACCAGTACTGGTCCGCCGCCCAGGGGTTGGGGGCTGCAGCTTTAAATAAAACTATTTTTAAAAATGTGGGGAACATGCTTTCTATTTTTTTATGCTATTTCCTTGGAAAAACAAGGCGACATGTATTTAAATGTTATTAATTACTTTCGACATGTTTGAGAAACAGCAATAAGAAAGATAATGAGCTTTCTTCCTGGCTTCAGTATTTCTGGAAATCTACGTCTCCACGCAGCCCAAACTTTTAGTGCTTGGTCTTCAAAAGCCTGGGTTTGAGCACTGGCACTGCTGTTTGTTGGCTTTAGGGTTGAGCTGGTCATTTATCCTTTCTTGATTCAATTTTCTCCTCTGTATAATGAGGGTAATGGGTCACCTCCCAAGATTGTTTTGAGTTTCAAAGAAGGTAATAAATGTGAAAGTGCTTTATATCCTATTAATGGCAAATCACATATACAGTTTTTATAAGCTTCCTCATCAGATGACCTAATTCACACTGGTATTTTGAGAGATTAGGCAGAATGAAGATAAATCCTATTTCACTTTTTGAAGGGGGATGTGGTGGAGAAGCCAGGGCGTAGATGCTAGATTGAGGTGAGATTTCAGCGCCTGTGACATCCACCACACTCATAAACTGGTGGTTCCAGGAACCTAGTTTCACATATTTAAATATGACACCAACATCCTCTTAACTTCTGTTGGAACCTACTCCCCAACTTCTCCAGCACCCTTGACAAACAGCAGTTCCAAAGGAAAACCACATAGATAATTTCGGTTTGTTTTCCATGCTAAAGCTAGATTTTGAGCCACTTTTGCTAGGGAGCCAGTGTCTGTAATACAGTGGTTCTCAAAATGTGGTTCCCTAGAAGTCTCTGCATCTACTGGAGACGTGTTAACAATGCAAATTCTCGACCCCAACCCAGACCTAATGAATCAAAAACTCCAAGGATAGAGCCTATTGGTCTGTGTTTTAATGATCCCACCAGGTGATTCTGGTATAGGCTCGAGTTTGAGAACGAATGCTATAATATATACTTTTAGATCTTACATCTCTACTGCCCATTAGCTAGCTAGTGGCAAATTAAATAGCTTTGAACCTTTAATGGATGGCCCTTTCTGGAAATATTTCCAGAAACAGGTTTTTCTTCTTCTTCTTTTTTTTTTTTTTTTGAGACAGAGTCTCACTTTGTTGCCCAGGCTAGAGTGAATGTTGTGGCATCAGCCTAGCTCACAGCAACCTCAATCTCCTGGGCTCAAGTGATCCTTCTGCCTCAGCCTCCCAAGTAACTGGGACTACAGACATGCGCCACCATGCCCGGCTAATTTTTTTGTATACATATTTTTAGTTGGCCAATTAATTTCTTTCTATTTTTAGTAGAGCCGGGGTCTTGCTCAGGCTGGTTTCGAACTCCTGACCTCGAGCAATCCACCTGCCTCGGCCTCCCAGAATGCTAGGATTACAGGCATGAGCCACCATGCCCAGCCACCTTCTTCTTTTTTTAAGAACACAATAACTGGAACAGAAACAGTTTTGTAAGAAGAATAAGTTACATTTGAATTCTACCTATTGAGTAGGTTATGAGTTATTGGACACACTTGGCACAGATTGTGCCATTAGATTATACAGGCATTTGGAGAGTTACTTTGACTTTTAGTATAGTGGAGTGACACTTTGGGCAAAGTGGTAATTTACATAATAGTATCCTATTCTTAGGAACTTGAAGAATTAAAAAAAAAAGCCTGCTAAGTCACCTTGCTTATACTGAGGAAGGAATTGTGGATTGGGAGACTATGGTTTATGCTTTACAAATTTGTACAATAAGCTCCTAGTAGAAAACAATCTCTGTGTGAATGAAATCTAAGCAGCAATTTTCAAGTTCAATAGTGCCCTTTTCACCTGTTTACTATTCCCTGGGGGCATCATTTGTTCATTTACCCAACAGAGTAAGTCAGATTGAAGCACTAAACTTCCTTCTGGGGTGATTTGTTTCACAGTAATACATAACTGATACAATGGCCATGGGGCTGCCTAGAGCACAGGCATTAAGCATCCCACCTTTGGGAACCACAGAAAACTTAGCTGGGAGGAAATGGGTGTGAGCAGTGGAGGTGGTCCATTCTTGAGCAGAATATAGTTGTCTGGACTAGGAGCTAGGATACAGTTAGGGAAATGTCTTTGGTGGTGCCCATACGATCCTGGGTTTTTGGAAAGTATACAAGCCTCCCCAAATGGTGGAAGGTGAATTTCTATCAAACCTTGTACGGACTAAGTGGTTGAATTAGGTTTATTTTGACTTAGAAAAATAAAGAAGTGTGATATTTCCTGCACCCAATTGTTATGAAATAAATCCAAACAGGCTTAAATAAGCCTGTTTATATATATATATATATATATAATGTTAATGTTAAACATTTTTCTTAATTTCTTTTTTTTCCTGCAAAACGTGGGAAGCATATTTTTAAGCAGTACTGGCTTATGAACTAAAGAAACCTATTCAGTTCCCATTTGTGTGGCAGAAATGTCATGGTTTTCATGGGAACCACTTCTCTTCATCTCTTTCTTTGCCACATGAAGGGTTTTGTTTTGTTTTCTTTTGCATAGTGTGATGTACATCGAAATTGAAACTTATTAACACCAAACAAGGTCAGGGAAGAAAAGGAGGCATTAGAAGGAACTGTGTCATTGTCATTGTTTTCTTTTCCCATCCCCTATTCATTGTTTCTGGTTGCCTTTTTTTTTTCTCTTTCCATCATTGTGTTTCTGAACCGTGAGCACTGGGGAGTGTAGAGTGGGCTGGTCATTAAGTGTGAACTCATGATAAATTCTCCAGAATCTTCTAGATCCACTTATATTCTTTTTTTTTTTTTATTTTTTCCTTTTTTTTTTCCTTTTTGTTTATTTTCCTTGGAAAAGCCAGAGATAGTGGAGAATATTCTGACTAGTGTATCTGGTGCTCATAAGGCCTACTTCCTTTGAAAATTTTCAAAGTCAATCAAATCATGTATTTATTGGCTCAGGATCCTCCAGTAGTTTCCTAGACAGAGTAAAACCCAAAGTCCTTTCCATGGTGTGGTAGTCAGATTAACAGCCTCCCAAAGAGGTTCAAACCTAAATTCCTGGAACCAGTGAATATGTTACTTTACACAGCAAAAGAGACTTTGCAGACAGGCATCTCAGTGTGGCTGGAGGTGTCACAATGGATATTTTAAATGCTTACTATGATAAGGTGGGAAAATGCTGGCAACATTTTTATTAGAGCTGGGCTGGCAGGTGCTGAAACGGTGCAGATGGCGATGGGTTCTGAGTGCTAGTCAGGTGGGTCCAGAAGGCAGTGCGAGAGCTGGGAGAAAGGCTCTGTGTATGGGGTGGGTGCTCATACTAAATTTTCCTAAAATATAGCTGAAAGGGCTCATGCAATTAGTGTAGCAGCTGAGCCGAGTGCTTCTGGCTTTCCTGATGATGGCTATAATTTTCCATCTGCAATGAGATTATCTCCATTACGGAAACGCACATTCTAGCAGAATGAATATGCTTCAGTGTCTCACCACATGGTTAGCGAGGTGCACACTGGTTACATATTGGCCCGTTTCACTGCTCCTTTGGGTGTCACTTGCTCCATGTTGTACCTCTTCCTTTTGTCCCTCAGACCTCAAAGCTGTTGCCTGTACAGGTTCAGTGACGGATTACCTTCTGTGGCTCCTCACCTGCCTTTTTAGTTCCCATTTTTGGCAAGTGTTAGTTTGGACAGCCTATTTATTAACTAACCTCTCTGGCTTAATTTATAAACCCGTCTTCTTCCATGAGAATGTTCTCCACTCCCCTCACGCCTGCCCCGGTAAGAATCCCTGATGACTGCCCTGGCGTTGGGACTCCATCTTCCTCTCGTGCTTCAGACTCCCTAAGACAGACATCAAAAGGAGCAACGTGTGGATTCATGAGATTAAAAATAAAAGTACTAGTAAAACAAAGAGTCAGTCATTTATCACAGCTCTGGTAAAACAATCATTTTTCTAATTATTGAAGGACTAAGAGAAAGATAGTAATAATGCTATGATGAGCTACCTTTAGGCATTAAGACGTGCCAGCTGCATTTCATGCATTATCTCGTTTATTCCTCACAAGACTCTGTGAACTCAGTGACATCATTAGTGATATCAGGTCCTTACAGATGGGAAGAGGCTTGGACAGAGGCTGTGTAATTTGCTCAGTCACCCGGAGTGGCAGCTCAGGAGTAGCAATGGTGGAATTTGACTTCATGTACTCCTAACTTCTACTGCCTTCCAGCATAAATTAATAAATAATAAGAAGAAAGCTGAATGGCTAGGACAGGATAAAAAATAATAAGAATATCTACATAAATCTATAAAGAAGGAAAAGAAGAGATTGGGGGAAATAGTTATAGCAGATATAAAGGAAGTTTGTGAAAAAGAGCATTGAGGGCCGGGCGTGGTGGCTCACGCCTGTAATCCTAGCACTCTGGGAGGCCGAGGCGGGCGGATTGCTCAAGGTCGGGAGTTCGAAACCAGCCTGAGCGAGACCCCGCCTCTACTAAAAATAGAAAGAAATTAATTGACCAACTAAAAGTATATATACAAAAAATTAGCCGGGCATGGTGGTGCATGCCTGTAGTCCCAGCTACTCGGGAGGCTGAGGCAGGAGGATCGCTTGAGCCCAGGAGTTTGAGGTTGCTGTGAGCTAGGCTGACACCACGGCACTCACTCTAGCCTGGGCAACAAAAGTGAGACTCTGTCTCAAAAAAAAAAAAAAAAAAAGAGCATTGAGAAGCCAGTTACAAATAGGCAACATACAGAAGAGAAAATACAAAATTTAAATAAGTGGTAAGCTTTTCAATAGTGCTGGTATTTAAGGACAGGAAAATGGAAATAACAAGAAGATGCAATTTTGCATCTATAAATTTGGAATACTTTTTGAAAACACAAAATTCAACACAAGTGAGGCTATGGAAAATATTAGTTGCTATGGCCTTGCAAATTTGCAGAATCATATTGTTAAAATTTAGCAATACCTATCAAGGACAATAAAAATATAAAACTCCTCTTCCCTCATTTCCCATACTCCTGGGGGTTTATTTTCAGAAAAATAATTTGGAAGAAAGAAACCTTTAGTTGTTTAAATATATTTTGTAACAAATTTTTCCCAGCAAAAATAGGTAGAAAGGTCTTAAATGTTCAACACTAGAGAAATGATTAAGTCAATTATGTCACCTTTCTATGATAGAATTATACAATTTTTACAGATAAGACTCATGATTAGTAAACTGCTCAGGACACAACACCAAATGAAAAAGAGCAGAACGCCAACCTGTGTGTGCGTGCACTGTGATTACAACTATGTGGGAGCTATGCATATGGAGCAGGTAGGGAAAGTCGTTTCTTTAAAAGGCTGGAGGCAGAAATCCTCACCAAGCGAGCTCTCCTTGCTTTGCCAAATATGATACTCCATAGACCCTCATGGTTGTAGCAATCTAGAGCTCAGGGCTAGAGTGAGACAGTAATTCAGTGTTGCTCTTCAAAATAAAGAAAAACGAATTTTAATTTCCTGGACTAAACCAAAGTGGGCAGGAATGGGGAGAAGCCGGTGGAGATGAAGGGTGAGTTCAGAGACAGACGGGTGGCAGAGGATGGGTGGCTGGAGCCTTCAGAACAAATGGCCCATGAGAATGTTCTATGAACAACCACAAGGCAGAAATTCAGGAGGGAGGCTGGGGCGCAAAAGGAGAAAAACAAAATACAGCTAAACAAGTGTCCTCAGAGAGCTGGTGAGTCAGGAGGCTGACTTTTGGGTTTATACAGGTAAAGACTGGAAGATAAGATTAAAAAAATAGCGACTGTATTAGAGTAGTGGAATATAATTGAAAGTTTTAAATTTAATTTGTATTTATTTCTTTATCTGTTGCTGGGATGCTTGATTAGAAGAATTTTGTAGAAATTTTAGAATCTAGTGTTCTAAGTCTCTACTTAAAATTCCTTTTCCCTCATGAATTTCTTAGCCTTCTCTGACTTCTCCAACTTCGATTCTTCCTTATGGATTTTTAAATGCTTTTATCCTATTCTCCCGGTACACCATCCATTCAAGCCCATGAACAAGTGGTACAGCCAGCTCAGAAATAAATCTCAGTATATATTTCAAACGTACATGATAACGTTGTTGTTTTGTTTCTGCAGAGAAAGGATGATTTGCATGGCTGGCATAATTGGCTCTTCATCTGGAAGAAAACAAAACTTGACTCTGTACTTACTTCATGCTCTATTCAAACATAAATTCACGAGGGACCAAAGAGGCAAATGTTTTATTTATTTATTTATTTTTCCATTTTTAAAAATTATTTCAGCATATTATGGGGGTACAAATGTTAAGGTTATGTATATTGCCCATGTCCCCCTCCCCCTCGATTCAGAGCTTCAAGCGGGACCATCCCCCAAACGTTGCACATCTCACTCATTATGTTTGTATATATCTATCCCCTCCTCCCCCCTGAGGCAAATGTTTTTTTAAAAAACAAACTTTTGAAGATAATGTTGGAGACTATTTGTAAAACTTTGGGGATGAAGGTAGAGATTGTCCTAAGCAAGGTAGGAAATCCAAAACCATGAAAATGGTTTATATGAGAAAAAAAGACTACAGACGAGAGTCAACAGACGGTGATGAACTGGGGATGTGTGTTAGAGATGAGGGATTCATATTCCTGGTGTTTGACAGGTTCTCACAAATGGATGGGGAAAAGACACCCCTTCTGCAATAGAAAAGGGGCCAAGGAGCCTGTGCTGGCTTTCCCATTTCCTCCCCACGTCTGTTCTTTGTCCTCCGCAGCCTGCATCTGTGCCTGGGAGGTTGCCCTTGGGAGGGGCTGCACCAGCTGGGGTCGCTGCTGGCTGGCTTACCATTAGGTGTGGCCTGTGGGAAGACCCAGCAGAAATTGGAGGGCTGAAGGAGCGAGAAGAGCCGGGGTATCTCCCCCATCTGCTGACTTGTCTCTGGCAGGAGCTAAGTGCTTCCCACTCAACAGCTCTCATGTGTCAACTTTTCCTCCAAGGTTCCAGTACTCTCAGGGCTCACCGAGTGACCCTAGTTTCATGTCTTGTGCCTTCAGCCCTGGGAGGAAGTAACAGCTCCCCGCTGTTTCTCGTCTCCCGGTGCCTCACCAGCTTTCCATCTTTTATCCACCCCCTTGGTCCTGACCGCAGCTCTGTGACTGGTCCCTTTACTACAGTCTCTTTATTTGAACCATATGGGGTGAGTTCAGTTTCCTGCTAGGATTCTAACGGATACAGATGTGAACCAGCAATGCACAGAAGAGGAAAGGTGAATCACCAATACAGATAGGACAATACCCTCAACCTCACCTGTATCCAGAGGAATTCAGAGTTCAAGTAACAATGAGGTAGAATTACTTATCCATTCAAATGGTCAAAAAATAAGAGAATTCATGATGATATGAGGAAATGGAGACTCTCATTCATTGCTGAGCAATGTATAATTTATTATTACATATAGGCTTTTGGGGAAGAAATTTGGCAATATTTATAAAAATAAAAATTGCACAATTTCTTTGACTCATTTTGGGCAATTTGTTCTATAGAAACAAAAGCTCTAGGAAGCAAGAATCTGTAAACTAGCATATTTACTGAAGAAACTTTATAGGTACAAAAAGGTGGACTTAGTCTTAAGGTCCACCAATACAGGAATGATTGAATACATTATGCTACAACTATACAATGAAATATCAGGCAGCTGTGAAACCAAATTTGCTTTGTATTTATTGACTTGGGGGGACATTATGAAATAAACAAAGAGCAGAACATTGTGTATAGTCTGCTAAATGCCCCCACAAGATTCATTGTCTCTTTTGAGTAATAGAACCTCCAAATTTTAGGCACATGACTAACAATCTAAAAAGTAGCCTCCCTTGCAGTTAGCTGTGTACATGGTTCTAAATTATGACTGAGGAGAAATGATTAGAAGTGATCTATGCAACTTTGCGATTCTGTTGTTAAAGAGAAGAAATGTTTTCCCTGTCCCCACCCCTTCCCCTTGTTGACTGGAACACAGACGTGGTGTGAACCACCCCAGAGAACATGGCTAAGGCAACCCCAAAGGATGGTGGAGCTGCAAGACGGAAGAAGCTTGGATTCCAAGATGACCTCAGAGAACAGAACCACGTTGTTAGTTTGGGGCCACCCAGCTTGGGACTGTTAAGTGAGCGAGAGGTAAACTTCCATCTGTATAAGCCACAGATATGTTGGTCTATTTCAGGAGCAGAATCTGAATCTTAATACAAAATCATTTCTTTTTTTGTAAAATAAATAGTAAAACCTTGTATGCATGTGTGTATGGAGCTCAGAGAAAGATGTGGAAAGGTAGATACCAACCTGGTAACCTTGGTCACCCAGGGGGTATGTTGGAACGGAGTTGGGGATAACAAACTTTGTCTCCATTGGAGGATATGGTATTCTTTCAGCTGTGCTCTAGGCAGGTTTTTTTCTGCTGCAAGGAGCAACATTTAGCATACAGACACAAAGAGGTCACACAGACTCTAAAATCAGGAACCCGAGCACAGCTTGGCTCCTGAGAACTGGAAAGTAGCCAGGAGCCCTGGCTGGTCTCTGCTTCCCCTTGTGGCTTTCTACATCCTCCTGCCTCTGGCGCATCTTCTGCTTGCCCAAGGTCCCCAAATAGTTGTTCCCTGGCGACCTGCAGACCAGTGGTGTTCAAAGTGTGGTCCTTCAGCCAGCAGCAGCGGACTCACCTGGGAGCTTACGAGAAATGCACATTCTTGGGCCCTATCCCAAACCCGCCGAATCAGAAACTCTGGTGGGGCCCAGAAATGTGTATTTTAACAAGCTCTTTCAGTGATTCTCGTGAATATTAAAGTTTAAG